CACAGCTCACAGCAACCTCCAACTCCTGGGCTCAAGCGAGTCTCCTGCCTCTGCCTCCCAAGTAGCTGGGACCACAGGTGCCCGCCACAATGCCCGGCTAATTTTTGGTTGCAGCTGTCATTATTGTTTGGCGGGCCTTACAACACCACCTTAGGTGTATGTGGCTGGCGCCTTAGCCACTTGAGCCACAGGCGCCGAGACTTTTAATTTTTTAAATCCATAAATATTCACAAAAATTGACTAGAATAGTATCTATCAAAATGTAGTAATACCTCTGAGTGAGATCATAGATTTGTGTGTCTGCTATTTGGTGTTTTATAATTAGCCTTCCAAACTTAAATTACTTTTATAATTAAAAATGTTTTATTGGTGACTATCAGGTAGGTAACCAAGTGAAGCCACAGGGCTGTCTGTCCCTCAGCTGCTGAGGAGCTCCCTGTGTCATTAGCTGGACTGCCCCTCCCTCAGCCCAGCCCTCCCTGTGTGTCCACAGCCGCCATGCAGCAGATGCTGACCGAGAGCTGTAAGAGCCGGCTCATCCAGATGGCCTACGAGTCTCAACGGCAAAACTTGGTCCAGCAAGCCTGTTCCAGGTAAGGTAAGGAAGAGGAGGCCAGGAGAGGGGATCAGGGGAGCTGACTCTGGGGCCAAGACCATAGAGGGAGTCCTGGAATGCCCTGCCCTAAGTGGTGCCTGGTCTTCCAGGGTTTTCTAGCTGGGCCCTATTAGTCAGTGTTGGGCTGTGATAAAGGATTATAGTCACTCCCGTGTACTTCCTGTGTGCCAGGCACTAAGAGATGCGTTGCATTAGCTGATTGACTCTATGAGGGAGTATACTGTTATTAGCCCCATTTTACAACGCAGCTCAGGTTCTAAGAGCCTGCATGACACTCCCCGGGAAGCGCAGCAAGCGGTGGCAGAACCAGGACTTGAGCTGTGGCAGAGCCGAGGGGTATGCTCCCAGCTGTGGTGCACTGCAGGGTTGGCAGTCGGGTGCACTGGAGGGGATGGGTGAGAAGTTGCTGTCACGCCAATAGCCATTCTGAGGTTAGGCTCACAGGCCCACCGTGGTACTGTAGGTTTATTAAGGGTTTAACAGGTGCCCAGCAGACTGGAAGAAAAAAGTTCAGTCAATGCTTAGGAGCTCCAGACAGGGACACGCTGGCAGCCCCCGGTGTCCTGTGTTTCTCCTCCCATGCAGGTGACTGGGGTACAGTTGCCAAGGTCTCAGGTACCAGCACCATGCCAACCCTCCCCTGTGTCCCTCCCTCCTTTCCTGATGTGTGACATTATGCTTAGGAGCATGGGTATCCAGGCCAGACAGTCCTGATTCAGGTCCCACTTCGCTTCATAGCTGAGAAGTCCTGGATGAGTGCTTGCTTCTCTGAGCCTCAGCTCCAGTACCCACCCCTGGAGCTGTTGGAGGATTTGATGAGCTTGATGTCTGGCTCCATGGTCCAATAAATAACTGCTACTGTTGGGCGGCGCCTGTGGCTCAGTGAGTAGGGCGCCGGCCCCATATACTGCGGGTGGTGGGTTCGAACCCAGCCCCAGCCAAACTGCAACAAAAAAATAGCCAGGCATTG